TTATTTCTCTGTCTCTTGTTTCGTCTAATCTGGCTATTTGAGGAAAATTGTACATGGATTGAACTCTCTGTTAGGCCGCATTGACGGGCTTGACGTTGTTACTCACAACGTAATTGCCTTCAAGAAGTCTTAGGGAGGCGGCGGTGTCCTATTAATCTCTTCTGGCCAGGGCACTTCGCCAAAGGGCCGCACCCACACCGGCTATGGGGAGGATAAGGTGCTTCTCTCATAGGAAAAGGCAGGGGATGAGTTTGGTCAGGATTGCGGTCTGGCAGTTGGATAAGAGGATAGCGGAAGTGGAGTGTTTCGTGATGATCGACAGAGTTTGGTGATTTCACGCAGATCAAAGCAACTTCACAAGGCGATGGGAGCTCGGCGTGCAGCAGCTTGTCGATGTCATCATGCAAAGTACTGCTCTAAATCTTCATAGTGGATCTAATATGTAGTAATTTGGTTTTATCTGAGTCGTATCCTCATTTTGTTTTTCGGATCTTGAACCATACTTATTTTGCGTACAAGGTAGGTATCTGACTTCTAGTTCTGTATGCTCAAAATTTTGAATCCACTCATCATCGCATCTGTCTTGAAATATGTTTGATTCTGTTATAAAACTATCTTCTAATCTTTAAACTCTTATCAAGTACTATTTCGAACAAATTCTCTAAAATTTTCCCTCAAATATGTGCGTAACGTCTTTGCCAAATGATTCTCAAACCGAAGTTTGGAAATCTATTTGGAAGATCCTTATTGGATATCTACATGTAAAATTCGTATGTTTTTTTCCTGATTACATATGCCTAATCGTTAGTTTCGTAACCGATTCCCTATTTTGAAAATTGAAGGGCGCAGCGCGGCCGGGAGCGTTGTGCCCCGTCCGGGTCCGGTACAAGATTCACAGGAGCACGACGCAGCACGGCATGGCGAGGCGCGCGCGGCGCGAAGCGTGAACGAGCAGTGTGAAGTAGCACGATGGGTGCAAAATGGTTGTGGCATGCGATGGCGTGCGTTGGAGATTTCGTGAAGGCAAGATAGGAGGGGGACGGGCGGTAACAGGTCGTCGGTTGTGGCGGTGTGGAATAGGGATTGTGTCGAGGAGAAGGTGGGTGGGGCGAACGGGGGCTTGATGGTGGGGGATTTCGTATACTAGCTTTTCTACTCCGTCTCTCCTTCTTCCTACTTTAGTGACCTAAAACTTTCTTTCAGGTGGCGTCAACAGGCTTGACGTGGTTACTCACAACGCAATCACAACAGGCTTCCCGCGGAGGCAGTAAACAAACAGGGGGTCGTTTTTTGGAGGAGGGTAGTAATCCCTTTGGCTCTTGTGACCCCTTTCATATGTATCTGAGACTTCAATAGGCGCTGAAGTTTCCATAGGGAGAGAGGGTTGTTCTTCTCCCTCTCTTCCCCTCTCCCTTTGGGAAGAGTGAGCGCTTAAATGTTCATGCGATTCTTCAGGATTTTGTGTGTTTGATTTTTCTTAATTTTCTGAAATTCTTGTTAGTATAATTTTAGTTGACGCCGGATAGCAGCAAGGGGAAGATTGGTCCTAAGGTTGCTAGGCAAGTGTGGTGGGTACGTGGGCAGAGGAGGAGAGAAGGTTAACGGAGACCCTAATTTTCAGACCACTTGCCATGCCATACATGAAAACCAAAGGGTCATTTTAATCAAACTTGCCACCAATTCGTAGAGTGGAGACTATACTAACTAACTGCAAAAAAAAAAAAAAAAAAAAAAAAAAAACCATATAAAATAAGGCAAAAATGCATTTTTATGAAATTTCGCCAGCATCTCAATTTCAGAAATCTTGAGAAATTTTAAAAATCTTAACATACGAAATTCCAATTCTCCAAATGACACAAAATTTGACACACACCAACGTTGAGCCAAAACAAGAACAAGCAAAAAATAATAATAATAAAAAAACATAAAATTTGGCCCCGAAACCCTAATTTCAGTTTTGGACTCGTTACCCAGGGCCTGAAAATGGGGGTCCCCGTTACGGAGACCCTAATTTTCAGACCACTTGCCATGCCATTTACATGAAAACCAAATGGTCATTTTAATCAAACTTGCCACCAATTCGTAGAGTGGGGTCCCCGTTAACCATTTGTGGTTGAGACTATTGGAGCTATGCCGAGRGTGGAGGCATAACCATCCTGCCCAATGCAGCTGAAGTYGGGGYTGTGAGCCTGTGACCCTGTAACCTTGGGGATTTTTTAGCTAAGGAAGTTGTCGAGGGAGGAAGACACTTCCTGACCGTCAGAATCAGCTCGGTCGGTACWGRTGTTGYTCTGTCATCCTAGCAGGGGGGGTATGAGACCTRGSGAGTTCTGRTGGGAGGAYTGAACATCTRGGCTACGGTMTTTCCTCTGTGGTGCGAGGAGAGAGCTGGATTGTTGGTGGTACCCAGGGCCTGAAAATGGGGGTCCCCGTTAATCATTTGTGGTTGAGACTAKTGGAGCTATGCCGAGGGTGKAGGCATAACCATCCTGCCMAATGC